GAACACGGTATGTTTCTCCATCTGTTTGTGTCCTCTTTGATTTCTTTCATCAGTGTTTTATAGTTTTCTATGTATAGGTCTTTTGTTTCTTTAGGTAGATTTATTCCTAAGTATTTTATTCTTTTTGTTGCAATGGCGAATGGAATTGTTTCCTTAATTTCTCTTTCTGTTTTCTCATTGTTAGTGTATAGGAATGCAAGGGATTTCTGTGTGTTAATTTTATATCCTGCAACTTTACTATACTCATTGATTAGCTCTAGTAATTTTCTAGTGGAGTCTTTAGGGTTTTCTATGTAGAGGATCATGTCATCTGCAAACAGTGAGCGTTTTACTTCTTTTCCTATCTGGATTCCTTTTATTTCTTTTTCTTCTCTGATTGCTGTGGCCAAAACTTCCAAAACCATATTGAACAGTAGTGGTGAGAGTGGGCACCCTTGTCTTGTTCCTGATTTTAGGGGAAATGTTTTCAGTTTTTCACGATTGAGGATAATGTTTGCTGAAGGTTTGTCATATATAGCTTTTATTATGTTGAGGTATGTTCCCTCTATTCCTGCTTTCTGGAGGGTTTTTATCATAAATGGATGTTGAATTTTGTCAAAGGCTTTCTCTGCATCTATTGAGATAATCATATGGTTTTTATTTTTCAATTTGTTAATGTGGTGTATTACATTGATTTGCGGATATTGAAGAATCCTTGCATCCCTGGGATAAAGCCCACTTGGTCATGATGTATGATCTTTTTAATATGTTGTTGGATTCTGTTTGCTAGAATTGTTAAGGATTTTTGTATCTATGTTCATCAGTGATATTGGCCTATAGTTTTCTTTTTTTATGGCATCTTTGTCAGGTTTTGGTATTAAGGTGAAAAACATTCTTATGTTAAAGATGAGAAAACTTGGGCAAGAAGTTAAGAAAGCCAAGTTCCAGTATCTAATAAGTGCTCAAGCTGAGATTTGAAAACCTCAACAGTCAGCATTTGCTGATTGTCTAACAAGAACTTGGTGTAGGACCTGTATTTTAATAGGGAATTTGATTGCTCATGTGCCAGATAATGAGAGTAGGTATGCATTTTAAAATGAGATGTAACTCCTGAATTGGCAGAGTGCTCAGAGATTGGATTTTATATGGAGAAGTTTTAGGGGAGCTGGGAGAGACATGAGGTCCTGGTCTTACCACTTGAAAACTTTTGGTTTCTTTGGTTTTGAAATGAAAAAAAAAGAAAAGTTTATTTCATAACATAGACAGAAAGAAACTCAAAAGGGCTTAAAGACGTAACATGACAACATTAAACTCCTAGAAAAGAACATAGGCAAAACATTCTCTGACATAAATCATGGCAGTGTTTTCCTAGGGTAGTCTCCCAAGGCAATAGAAATAAAAGCAGAAATAAACAAATGGGACCTAATCAAACTTACAAGCTTTTGCATTGCAAAAGAAGCCATAAACAAAAAGACAGCCTACAGAATGGGAGAAAATATTTGCAAGCTATGTGACTGACAAGGGCTTAATTTCCAAAATATTCTAACAGCTCATAACAAAAAAACAAACAACTCAATTAAAAATGGGCAGAACACCCAAATAGACATTTCTTCAAAGAAGATATACAGATGGCCAGTAGGCACATGAAAAAATGTTCAACATCACTAATAGAGAAATTCAAATCAAAGCTACAGTGAGATACCATCTCACATCAGTCAGAATGACCATCTTTAAAAAAAAACTCTACAAATTAAAAATGCTGGAGAGAAACAAGGGAATTCTACACTGTTGGTGGGAATGTAAGTTGGTACAGCTGCTGTGAAGAACAGTGTTGGGGTTCCTTAAACTAAAAATAGCTATACATATGATCCGGCAGTCTCACTCCTGTGCATATATCCAGACGCAACTCCTACTTAAAAAGATACGTTCACACCTGTTTTCATAGCAGCACTATTACAATACCCCACACATGGTTCATGGACAAGTGAATGGATATAGGTGTTGTGTCATATATACACATGGAATATTACTCAGCCACACACAAAAAAATGAAATAATGCTATTTGAGGCAACATGGATGGGCCTGGAGGTTATCATAACAAGTGAAGTAATAAGTCAGAAAGACAAATAAGAGATCACTTATATGTGGTATTTAAAATATGACACAAATGAACTTTTCTGTGAAACAGAAACAGTCTCACAGAAAACTTATGGTTAGCAAAGGGGAAATGGGGTGGGACAGCTTGGAATTAGCAGACATAGACTATAGTATATAAAGAAGATAACCAACAAGGACCAACTGTATAACACAGGGAACTATATCCAATATCCTGTAATAAACCATAATGATAAAGGATATGAGAAAGAAAAAATATTCTCTTATTGTGAAACTTGTAGTTTAACTAGGGAGCTTGATAAATATGGTCCAAGGTAGAAAGGGATTGATGTCATTGGACAGAAATTAAAGACACAGCGTTAGAATGAGGTAACCCCAGAGAGCATCTCATCCCTGCTTCTCAAGTGTGTCTGGGAAGCTGTGGGTCTAGCTTTACCAGTGGAATCTGAGGTCCTACTGAAGAAGAGTCTACATGTATTCTGCAGGGGATTCAGATTCAGTTAAAACTTGAGAAGCACAGATGTGGTCTAACTCCATCATTTTACAGGTGAGGAAGCAGACCCTGAAGGCCCAGGTAATTTGGCTGGTTTAGTGGGAGAGTGAGGACTTGTGCCTGTGCCCCAAATTCTTCGTGGGCTTTGCCGACACTGTGCCATCCTAGTTAGAAGGTACTTTTGGATTTCAGAGAACTCTGTCTCTTCTGGAGGACTTCTTTCAAGGCCTAGAGAGGTATAGGAATGTGCTGATTCTTTCATTTCTCCCCTCTACCTAGAACCTGAGTGTCATTTGCTTCAGCTGTACTCAGAATACATTTCATGGAGAAATCATGTTGGTTGTAACTTTGTTTTCTTTCCAAAGATCTCTGTCATTTCTGGATACTATCTAATATGCCTGTGTTCAGAACATGTTTTTTTCCTTCAGTCCAGCATGGTTGAAATTATTTTCAGCCCATAGTCATTTCCTGTTACCCGCCCCCCCCTCACCTTTTTTAGGAATGAATTGAAACTTAGAGAAAACGTTTGTTTACTGTTTGAAGAGTAAGAAGCCTCTGAAACAATTGGAAGAATAATCTTGTTTCTAAGAGTGTTACTTCTTCCTTACTAAAATAGAAGCAGGAGACATGTAAACAGCATGTATTTGCTAGAAGTGCATATGTAAATAGCATGCATGCATTGCTAGAAGTGTACTGTTCCCTGCTTTTGTCTTCACCTGTTTTCCACTGAGCATGATTTGTAAGCATGCTCAGAGTATTTCTAATCTCAGTTACAAGAGTGATCCTTTGACATGGTTTTATGAGGCATCAGTGGCACATTTTTTGAAAAGCATTCAAGGCGAATCATTTTATACCTGACACAGATTTGATTTTTGCTGTTAAACACACTAAGGTAAAGTACAGAGAACATACAATTTTCCATCTCTGATTTTTTTTTTTTTATTAAAAAACTTTTTGACCACACCATGTGGCTTATGGGATCTCAGTTCCCTGACCAGGGATTGAACCTGGGCCATGGCAGTGAAAGCACTGATTCCTAACCACTAGACCATCAAGGATCTCCCAAATTTGCCATCTATAGTTTTTAAATGTACAGTTCAGTAGTGTTAAGAATATTCACACTTTTGTGCAGCAGATGTCCAGATGTCATCTTGTAAAAATGAAACTCTACACCCATTGAATGAGAATGTCCCATCTTTCTCTCCCCTGGTTTCTGGCAACCACCATTCTACTTTCAGGTTTTATGAATTTGACTACTTTAGAAATGTCTTTGGGCTTCCCAGATATCTCAGTGGTAAAGAGTCAGCCTGCCAACACAGGAGATGAGGGTTCAATCCCAGGGCTGGAGGATCCCTGGAGAAGGGAATGGCAACCCACTTCAGTATTCTTTCCTGGAGAATCCCATGGACAGAGGAGTCTGGTGGGCTGCAGTCCATGGGGTCACAGAGAGTCACGACATGACTGAAAGACTGAGCACAGATACCTCATTAAGTGGGGTCATATAGTATTTGTTTTTTTTTAAGTGGCTCATTTTATATTTCATTAGTAGCTTAAAGTCCTTAAGTTCATCCATGTTACAGCATGTGTCGGTTTTCTCTCTCTTCAGGCTAATTTTACACTGTACATATATACCACGTTTTGTTCATTTTTCTATTGATGCTTAGGTTACTTCCTCTTTTTGACTACTGTGAATAATGCTGTTATGAACATACGTGTATAGTGCTTTTTTCACTTTGAGTAGCTTTGTTAAATTATCTGTGAGTTTGTTAGTGAGGAAAACATTAGCTTAGTTGGAAGAGTTCCATTTCTTTTTCCTTGCCTGCTAACTATATAAGATATGTGACCACTGTGAGTCTAGGGAGCTCCTTTTGTAAGAGATGAAACACATTTCACAGAATTGTAATAATTCTTAAATGTAACACAGATGTAAGGAGACAAATGACTACTTAGTTAGTCCATATGCGTTCAGTACTTCTGAGTTAGTTGTTCAGGTGAGTTGTACCTGAAAAAATATCCACCATAACATTAAATATTGGTATCATTAATTCCTCAACTGTATAATGAATTTTTTATCTTTAAAATGTAAATAGTAACTTTAATGTTGAAAAGGAAGAATGAGTTAAAAAACAAGAAAGTATACATTTTGAGTAACAATCTGATTTTAACTCTTGGTTAATCTCTGACGAATGTGAGCACCTTGAAGGAGTTAGTGCCTGGTATTAACCTTGATAGTTTATTAGTAGAGTTGAAAGAAGTTACCAGTCCTTTCAGATACTACACATTAGATTTCCCCAGTTTCAGATAGAGTTGTAATGGTTTGGCATATGTTGCAACAAACAGCATTACTGTCTTAAAAGTTTTCGTTTTTTTTTTTTTTTTCAAGTAAAGAACTCAGGAATGTTTGTCTTCTAGGCCCATCAACAGAGCAGACGAGCAGATCGCTTGTTAGCTGCAGGGAAATACGAAGAGGCTATTTCTTGTCACAAAAAGGCTGCAGGTGAGTATTCTTTTTAAGTAGTACTGAGTCTGAAACTGCTGGGCAGTTTCTTTTTTCCAGTATCTCTCAACACAGTATTTAGAATGAAAGTCACAAGAGTAATGATGTGTTATTGCCCTGCATATATACCACACTGACACTACTGACCCACTGGAACACAGCTTAGAATATTTTTCAAGTGAGTGTGTTAGATTTTCCAGCTCCTCTTAGCCTGGTCTTTCTAAATCATGGAAATTGGATATGCCTTATTGGTAAATGATTCCTGGACACAACTTTCTGAGCTGGAAGATCCCAGAGACAGAATTGATTGCCTTAAGTGTCTGTTGGTTCATCTTAGTTGTTATAGAGGAGTTTGGATTTCAAATATTTAGCCATTTTGTGTTCTGGAATTAATAACTAATTTAATTCCAGCCAATTAATTTTCACTGAGTTTCTGTTTCCTAAGGTGCTGATAATGGAAAAGCCATTGAAACCCTTTCCTGTGGTCTTTCTTTAGCTTCCCTTCTGAAAGTTTCATCTATACATTCATGCCTATAGTATCATGCCGCTGATGACATTTAGAATTACTGGATTCCTTTCAAACACCTTATTTTATCCCAGTCATAAAAGTTAGTGGTGTATGTTGAACTCAGAAATAGCTCTGTAGGGTCTGTTTTGTACAGACTGGTTTCTGCTGGCTGAGTAACAAACCTAAAAGCTTAGGAGTGGGAGTGGTACATCCAAAATCAGTGTGGCCACCATTCTTTGAGCAGGCCCTGTAGTCTTCCTGCTAGAGAAAGGCACTTCCTTTCCCTGAGGCCAGTACCGTAGTCAGCGTCCTGTTTTTTTCCTGGCAGAATCTTCTCCTATGTTGCCTTACTGCTGAAATATAGACTGCATAGTGGAGACTGGCTTAGAAAAGTCCTTCTGTGTCAGTGATTTTTGCCTTCAAGTCAGTAATTTTAAGAGAAAATTTCAAGTCTTACTATTGAAGAGTTAGTTTTGCCACTGAAGTGTACCCTTCAGCTGTAGGGCTGAGCACATTGTATGTATCCCATAAATCTTTGTGGTTTTTAATTTATTATTATCACTACTTGGCCATGCCTCACAGCATGGATTGTGTGTTGATTGGTAGAATATTCTTTTTCTTTTCCCCCAGAGAAGGAACGATTTATTACTTGTAGCAAGAAAGGAGAACACTTGCTTTCCCAAAGCAGTGTCTGATTGGTAGGATATTCTGAGTATATAAAAGGTATAAAAGTTGGTTTTTTTAAAGATTTATTTATTAATTTTATTTTTGGCTGTGCTAGGTCTTTGTTGCAGAGCCCCAGCTTCTCGCGGTGGCAGCTTCTCCTGTCGCGGAGCACAGGGGCAAGGGCACACGGGCTTCAGTAGTTGCATGCACAGCCTGGGCTCAGTCCTTGTGGCTTGCAGGATTAGGTGCTCAGCAGCACGTGGGATCTTCCCTTCCTGCTTGGGAGGGAAGTCTCTTTCATCCTAGTCTATATTCCTGTCTTCATTGGAAGACTTAAAATTAATGTTGGGCTTTAAACACCTCTCCCCCTTTCTCTTTATCTAAATTCTGTGACTTTCTCAGGGGTAGAAAAGATAAAGGCAGTCTGTTGGATTCCATTAGCTCTAACTTTGGAGGTGCAACTTTAAGTGTGATTACTTAATCCCACCCAGCCGATTTGATTTGGAGTTTAGACTTGTTTGAAAATAGCCTTGTGTTGTGTTTCAGAGTAGAGTTGTGAATGTAATGCTAGTTTGAGAGTTAATGTGGATGGAATGAACTCTGTTTTCTAAATTGCGTTTAACTTCTAGGCTTGAACAGAGCTGTTTTGGGAGGTGTAGATGTAAATATATCCTGAGAGTAAGCAACTTAGTGTTTGGAAATCATGTTAGAGACACAACAGGGGAAGGTCGTCATCTGAGGAATGTTGGGAACAAAAGCCTGAAGTGAGAGAATTCACCAGCAGAAGAAGGGGCCTCAGCTGAAGAGCGGAGGGAGACCCTGAGACTCCAGTGCTAAGGACTCATATCCTCTGTGCTTGGTAGTGTTCTGATAGTGCTTTGTGAATGTGTAGAAATACAGAGGTTACTTGATCAGCTGAGATACCAAACTCAGAAAGAAAAAGCCATCTAAATCTGAAGGGGGTAGGGAGGAGGAGGGGGTGTACTTATTTTTACACCCTATATTGAAAAAAAAAGTTAAAGAAGCTATAAACTACCAAGAATTCCCCACTGTTAGAGGACTCTTGCTTTACATCCTTGATTGGCAGCTGTAACTGGGTTGCTGTAATCCTCCCTTGGCAGTCTTATGCAGTCCAGTCTCTAAGTGGATTTCTTTTCTTTTACAGACAGCAAAAAGGGCAAAAGCTTAAATTGGAAGTTAGTAATAGCCATTAACAATGTTTAGAACTCAAAGTGAACTTTTCGGAAGGTGAACAGACTTGAGGGTGTGTGTTTATATGTACTTGAAAATAGATCTTGACCTGAACCTTCTCTGAGACTGTGGTGTCACAGAAATGATTCGGAGCACATCAGTCTTTGTCATTCAGAGTCAGTGCTGTGTGTGTGCAGAGTCAGTGCTGTGTGTGTGCAGAGTCAGTGCTGTGTGTGTGTGCAGAGTCAGTGCTGTGTGTGCAGAGTCAGTGCTGTGTGTGTGCAGTCAGTGCTGTGTGTGTGTGCAGAGTCAGTGTTGTGTGTGTGTGCAGAGTCAGTGTTGTGTGTGTGCAGTCAGTGCTGTGTGTGTGTGCGGAGTCAGTGCTGTGTGTGTGTGCAGAGTCAGTGTTGTGTGTGTGTGCAGTCAGTGCTGTGTGTGCAGAGTCAGTGCTGTGTGTGTGCAGTCAGTGCTGTGTGTGTGTGCAGAGTCAGTGTTGTGTGTGTGTGCAGAGTCAGTGTTGTGTGTGTGCAGTCAGTGCTGTGTGTGTGTGCGGAGTCAGTGCTGTGTGTGTGCGCGGAGTCAGTGTTGTGTGTGTGCAGTCAGTGCTGTGTGTGCAGAGTCAGTGCTGTGTGTGTGCAGAGTCAGCGCTGTGTGTGTGTATGCAGAGTCAGTGCTGTGTGTGCAGAGTCAGTGCTGTGTGTGTGCAGAGTCAGTGCTGTGTGTGTGTGCAGAGTCAGTGCTGTGTGTGTGCAGAGTCAGTGCTGTGTCTGTGTGCGGAGTCAGTGCTGTGTGTGTGTGCGGAGTCAGTGCTGTGTGTGTGCGGAGTCAGTGCTGTGTGTGTGCAGAGTCAGTGCTGTGTCTGTGTGCGGAGTCAGTGCTGTGTGTGTGCGGAGTCAGTGCTGTGTGTGTGCAGAGTCAGTGCTGTGTGTGTGCAGAGTCAGTGCTGTGTCTGTGTGCGGAGTCAGTGCTGTGTGTGTGCGGAGTCAGTGTTGTGTGTGTGCAGTCAGTGCTGTGTGTGTGTGCGCAGAGTCAGTGCTGTGTGTATGCAGAGTCAGTGTTGTGTGTGTGCAGAGTCAGTGCTGTGTGTGTGCAGTCAGTGCTGTGTGTGTGCAGAGTCAGTGTTGTGTGTGTGTGCAGAGTCAGTGCTGTGTGTGTGCAGAGTCAGTGCTGTGTGTGCAGAGTCAGTGCTGTGTGTGTGCAGTCAGTGCTGTGTGTGTGTGCAGAGTCAGTGTTGTGTGTGTGTGCAGAGTCAGTGTTGTGTGTGTGCAGTCAGTGCTGTGTGTGTGTGCGGAGTCAGTGCTGTGTGTGTGCGCGGAGTCAGTGTTGTGTGTGTGCAGTCAGTGCTGTGTGTGCAGAGTCAGTGCTGTGTGTGTGCAGAGTCAGTGCTGTGTGTGTGTATGCAGAGTCAGTGCTGTGTGTGCAGAGTCAGTGCTGTGTGTGTGCAGAGTCAGTGCTGTGTGTGTGTGCAGAGTCAGTGCTGTGTGTGTGCAGAGTCAGTGCTGTGTGTGTGCAGAGTCAGTGCTGTGTCTGTGTGCGGAGTCAGTGCTGTGTGTGTGCGGAGTCAGTGCTGTGTGTGTGCAGAGTCAGTGCTGTGTGTGTGCAGAGTCAGTGCTGTGTCTGTGTGCGGAGTCAGTGCTGTGTGTGTGCGGAGTCAGTGTTGTGTGTGTGCAGTCAGTGCTGTGTGTGTGTGCGCAGAGTCAGTGCTGTGTGTGTGCAGAGTCAGTGTTGTGTGTGTGCAGAGTCAGTGCTGTGTGTGTGCAGTCAGTGCTGTGTGTGTGTGCGGAGTCAGTGCTGTGTGTGTGCAGAGTCAGTGTTGTGTGTGTGTGCAGAGTCAGTGTTGTGTGTGTGTGCAGAGTCAGTGCTGTGTGTGTGCAGAGTCAGTGCTGTGTGTGTGCAGTCAGTGCTGTGTGTGTGCAGTCAGTGCTGTGTGTGTGCAGAGTCAGTGCTGTGTGTGTGTGCAGAGTCAGTGCTGTGTGTGCAGAGTCAGTGCTGTGTGTGTGCAGTCAGTGCTGTGTGTGTGTGCAGAGTCAGTGCTGTGTGTGTGCGCGGAGTCAGTGTTGTGTGTGTGCAGTCAGTGCTGTGTGTGTGTGCGGAGTCAGTGCTGTGTGTGTGCGCGGAGTCAGTGTTGTGTGTGTGCAGTCAGTGCTGTGTGTGCAGAGTCAGTGCTGTGTGTGCAGAGTCAGTGCTGTGTGTGTGCAGAGTCAGTGCTGTGTGTGTGTATGCAGAGTCAGTGCTGTGTGTGCAGAGTCAGTGCTGTGTGTGTGCAGAGTCAGTGCTGTGTGTGTGCGGAGTCAGTGCTGTGTGTGTGCGGAGTCAGTGCTGTGTGTGTGCAGAGTCAGTGTTGTGTGTGTGCAGTCAGTGCTGTGTGTGTGTGCGCAGAGTCAGTGCTGTGTGTGTGCAGAGTCAGTGTTGTGTGTGTGTGCAGAGTCAGTGCTGTGTGTGTGCAGAGTCAGTGCTGTGTGTATGCAGAGTCAGTGCTGTGTGTGTGCAGAGTCAGTGTTGTGTGTGTGTGCAGAGTCAGTGCTGTGTGTGTGCAGAGTCAGTGCTGTGTGTGTGTGCAGAGTCAGTGCTGTGTGTGTGCAGTCAGTGCTGTGTGTGCAGAGTCAGTGCTGTGTGTGTGTGCGGAGTCAGTGCT